ACCCACTACCCCTGCCCCGGCCCCAGGAATTCCCCTGGGAGGGAGGGAGCGAGGCTCAGAGCCAGGCTGCCTGGGTTTGTACGGCCAGATCCACACGGTTGCTGAGTGTGTGGCCTCGGGCAGGTTCCCGGATCTCTCTGGGCCTTAGTGTTTCCGTCTGTGTAATGGGCAGTGACTTGTACCCACCTCCCCAGGTTATGAGGATGAAGTGAGGCCAGATGAAGGGTTTGCAAGAGATGCCTGATCCCCTGGTATGAAGGGCGCACCGTCGATACCGGCCTCAGCGCTGTTCACACCCCACTGACAGGTCCCTGCGTTAACCGGAAGTTAAAGCAGACGTTAGCACCACTGTATTTGTCTCCACGAGTCCTGGGGGTTCTGGAGAAGTGGGGGCTGTCGGTTGAGAGAAGGGTGGTGCGTGTCCCTCATGTGCGTTACAGATTTATCAGATATGATCTCACTTTGTCTGTCGTAAGCTCTGTTAAAAATTACTTTGTAATGTCAGTGGAAATGCTCATTTACGGGCCTGACTTCCTGCGGGCGGGGCTCACAGCTGCCCGGCGTCCTGGGTGACCAGGCATTGGACATCCCGTTTGGTGGCAGCAGTGACTCACCGCCTTTTTCTGGAGGAGGAGGGGCTGCACGCCTGCCCGGACGTGGCTCCTTCCTGGATCCTAGCGATCTGCCCCTCCTTCCTTCCTGGGCCGAGTCGCTGCTTGTCCCTCGGGGCCGAAGCCCCGCCACCCATGCAAACCTCCTTTATGGACTGAGGGGGCCCAGAGGCCACACAGTTACCCACACCTGGAGTCCCTCCCCGCCGGTTATCCCTGCTTAGGGGAACAGATGTGTTGGCAAAGTTTGCTGAGAAGGTGAAAATACATTCGAGAATTGTTTCCTACTCACTTTTTTTTTTTTTTTTTTTTGTGGTACGCAGGCCTCTCACTGTTGTGGCCTCTCCCGTTGCGGAGCACAGGCTCCGGACGCGCAGGCTCAGCGGCCATGGCTCACGGGCCCAGCTGCTCCGCGGCATGTGGGATCCTCCCGGACCGGGGCACGAACCCATGTCCCCTGCATCGGCAGGTGGACTCTCAACCACTGCGCCACCAGGGAAGCCCCTCCTACTCATTTTGACAGGAAATGAGAAACAGTGTTTGACCAGAGAAATATTGGTGTAATTAAAGTGAACTGATGAATGTACAATTTTTGAAAGATCACGTAAAGAAATTCTTATTTCCTTATATTAAAACATTAACAGTGATCCTCAGATTATCAGTTAAAAACTTGCTCTACCCAAGTAATAAATCACGGGCTTACAAAGAGGGAAAGTCAAAACCGAGCATGGTCTGGCCTGGTCCAGCAGCAGCAGTTCCAGCCCCCAGACGCCCGTCAGTCGTGACGCCGGCAGCCGCCCCGCCCCGCAGCTCTCCACTGCTCCATCCCCGCCTCCCCGGCCCACGGCCCCGTGTGAAATCCCCCCCATTCCTGAAGAGCCAGCTGGGTGTTCTGTTTCCAGGAAGGCCCCACGTCCCCCAGCCACAGCGGTAACCCGTCGTGGCCCTTTGACCCTGTCCTCACTTTCTGCCTGGTGCTGTGACTGCTGTGAATTATGTCTCCTGTTGAACCTGTCCTGCCCATCCTCGTGTCCACTTGCCCCGCAAGCTAAGCCGAGGGCCTGGTTGATGTCCAGGAAAACGTCAGCGAAGTTGCTCCGTGGCGACAAATCACCCCCAAGTCTCGGCGCCTGAAACGCCCCGTGTTTCCTCTCACGCGTCCCTATCCTTCACGGTCAGCTACGCCTCTTGTGCTCCCAGACACAGATGGGGATCTGGGGGCCCCGCTGGTCTGGGGGTGGGGAGAGGTCAGCGCCGTGGAACGCTCTGGAAGCTCCTGCTGGGAAGTGCCCTGCATGTAACTACTGCTCCCCCGTCGTCGGCCAGGCCGGTGTCGGAGGCATGCAGCTCCCTCGGGGGGGGACTCTGCAGGGTGGGTGGGCGCCCCCTGCCGCGCCACAGGGGCAGAGTGAGCGGGCGAGCGGGGGCCGGATGGTGAACGGTCCCAGCCGAGCCACTGACAAGCCCCTGCCCTCCAGCTTCGGCTGTTTACCAAATGCCTTTGAGGCGTTGTTTCCTCTCCTTGCCGTGGTTCAGCACATGGGTGCCTGTCCAGCTGCCTCCCTGGAGCAGAGGTTCTGAAAAGTTGACGTGGGAGGCCCCGATGAGCCCACGGCCGCCCAGGGTCTGCGGGACGCAGAGCCAGGAGCCCGTGGGCCAGCGCTCCCTGTCAGCAGGAAGTCTGCACCGGGTCAGGGCAGCCACCGTGTATCCCTGATGCCTGGTGGCCACGTCGGGGCCGAGCAAGCTGGCCAAAGTGCTGCCCTCGCTGCTCCGTGGGTCCCGCCCGCCGAGTCCAGCCCACAGCACCCAGCTGTGCAGGGCCTCTCCCAGCGCTCAGCCAGAATCCCAGAAGATTCCAGAAATCGCTGGGATTCCACTACTGCTGTCAGGTGCAAGGAGCCCCCAGAAGTCCAGGAAGCTTCTCTATCACTGCCCTGCCCGGACCTCTCTCCGGGGCTGGGGTGGCGGGAGCGATCCCTCAAGGCCGGTGGGTGACAGCTGTGGGAAAGCGTCGTCTGCCTGGGCCGCGACGCCGGATGGAGAGAATCTCCGCTCTGTGCCCTAACCCTGCACCCGCCCTCCAGCGCTGTCCGTGGGCCATCTGCGTATCAGCAAATGCCAGGGACTGCCAGGCCAGGCCAGCGTGCTTTTAAAAACGAATTTCGTGCATTTTAACACAGCATTCTGAGCCGATGTTCACGTGCGCCGTACTCCACAGATGCTAAGGTTGGAGAACAAGGGGCTCGCGATCCACCAGACGCTCCATCGGTTTCCAAACTGAGCACCTTCCTGACAGGAAAGGATTGCACTGGGGGTGTAGACAGACGGCCTTCCTGCACGTCAGGGGCTCCCGTCAGGGTGGAGACCCTGAGGATCTCAGGAACCAAAAAAATAAGTCCTGAAACTGGCGTGCTTTGCTCGATGTTCACCTGGGTTTTCTCCCTCCCCTGCTGTGTTAGCGTCACAAAAGTCCTTGTCACCTGCAGCATGTTTTTGGCAGGAAGGGGCTGTGCTGTAGGACAGCTGGGGGGCGTGGAGACAGCTCAGCCTGGGGACAGCGGCGCCTGGGGCTCAGCCGCCCGGGACGGGACCAGGGGTGGCGGTGGAGGGAGGCTTTGTCCAGCCCGTGTCGACCCCAGAGCCGTCGTGGGCCCTGCGTTCGGCTGTGCTTGGAGAGGGAAACTTGGGGGACTGGGGCGACCACGCACAGATGGTCCTAACCCGCCACCAGGGTAATGGCTGTGCTCCATTTTGCCTTTCGCGTTTTAATCGTACAACAGTGATTTTGTGATAGAGTCGCCCATGGCAAACACGCAGAAGACATTAACTTTATTTATGTGTTGGATTATTAATGTGGCTGTTAAAATTCCTCCGGTTAGTTTTGATTGAATTGTTTTTTTGTGCGATTCTGTTGTTTAATGGAGCGGTAAATAAGCATTTCTGATAATGAGGCTGAGCGTCTGTCACAGCCACCTGGTGGGGGCTATTAACATTTCCATTAGCGGCGGGGTGGGCAGTGACAATACAGGAGCCACGCGGTTAGAGCAAAATAAATAGTCGGTGTCAGGCTGAGTGGGCGTTAATTACTATTTTATTCTGCACTGGTGGTGGGGAAGCAGGGAGGGGAAGAAGCGGGGGAGGGGCGCCTCAAGGAGGTCATCCTCTCCCCAGGAGGCCTCTCCAGAGAGACTGTGAGCTGGGCGGTCTCCCTCCGGCGCTGACCGCTGACGCGTGGTCCTTTCCATTCATGGCCCTAAATAGACTCGAGTCAAGAGGCAGCACCCTGGCCGCAGGCAGGGCTGTGGAACGTGAGGGTGCTGGGTTGGCGCCCTGGCCCTGCAGCAATGTCCCCGACAGCTCCATGGAGCTCCCCAGGGTCCAGCCCAGCGTGAAGTTCACTGGGGGAGGAGTCACCCAGGTGGGAGGAAGGAGTAGCTCCTGGGAGGCAGAGGACAGATGGGCCAGAGGGGAGAAATGTCCCCAAATGTACACGTGCGTCCTCCGCGTCATTCCCAACTTACCCGCGGCTGCCTGCAAGGCCACGAGGCCACGGCCATGGCGCCCTGTTAGTCACCTTTCACCTTTGATCTGCACAGTGTGGCCCTGCTGACACCAACACAGCACCCGGGGGCCCTCGGGGTTGGGAGGGAAGGAGTGGGACCGGGTCCTCCTGGGGGGCGCGGAGCTGTGGCCTCTGTGCTCCGTCCCTGAGAAGGGGCAGCCCCGGGTCTGCAGACATCAGCTCCACCTGGAGCACGGCTTCCTACCCAGGATCCGGGACTCGTGGTGGGAACACAGATGCCTTTCTTTATTTATTTTTGGCCGCGAGGGCTGTGGGATCGTAGTTCCCTGACCAGGGATCGAACCCAGGCCCTCAGCAGTGAAAGCGCAGAGTCCTAACCACTGGGCCGCCAGGGAGCTCCCATAAATGCCTTTATATTCTCCGAGTTCCACCTGGAACTGAGCATCTCCCTCAGTTATGAATGTGGCGACGTACCAGTGCCGCATCCCTGGGGCCTGGGACTCTCTCAGCAGCAGGGCCCCCGGGTGTGCCCCCGGGTGTGCCCCCGTCCTGGCGAGGTTGGAGGTTGCTGCGCCGTCTCTGCTCATCCCACCTGACCTCAGAGGTGTCGCACGAGCAGCTCCTAAGCCTGGCTTCAGGGCTCAGTCACAAGCACAAGCACGTGGGTTACCGTGTCACACCTTCGTTTCCAAAGCTCTGCTGTGTCTCGATATAATCGGTTTTCTTTGGGATTCTCCAGGTTTTATTTCATGCATTTAAAGGCGCGGTTCTGAGGAGGGTGTGTGGTCATGCTGGCAGGCAAGCTGGGTGGTCCAGGGCAGGGTCTCGGGACTTCTCAGCGGACCCCGCTGCTCTCTCCGCAGCCCCGGCCATGGCTCCGCAGCACGTGCAGGTGAACCCACTCACGGCCAGCCAGCTGGAGGTCACGTGGGAGCCGCCGCCGCCCGAGAGCCAGAACGGAAACATCCAGGGCTACAAGGCAAGGCGCCCTCTCGCCTGGTTTGCCTCTTCCTTCCAGGTCACTTGCGGGCCAGGGTCGGTGGCCTGAATCCCCAGATCTCCCGAGGGCTCCGCTGGGACCCTGGCCACTTCTGCTTCCCGTCCTGACTCAGGCCGACAGACCCTCGGCCCCCAGCCGGGCGGCTGGAACGGGCTCAGCCTGACCTTGCCTCTGGCCTGGGAGAGCGGAGCCCAGTTCCCCGCGCGACCAGCAGCGCCTCCCGCCCCCTGCACCCCCTCTGGGAGTCTCCACCGCCTTTGCCGACAGTAGAAGGGAAGCCCTCAGGAGAACAGGTTCCCCCCGCACCAAGCCCTGCCCTGGGTCCGAGTCTCTTGTTCGGTAGGTCCAGGATGGGGTCCAAGGATTTGCGTGCTCCTGGGAACCTCACTTTGAGAACCCTTACACTGCACTGTCATGATTCCACGTTCAATATCCCAGAGGGGGGATCCAAGAAAGGCAGCAGCCCGTTGCAGTCCGAGCATCAGGTGATGAACAATGGCACAGAGTTGGTGGGGGCAGGAAGCCCCCGCAGCATTCCACCTCCAACATCACCCCTGCGTAGGGGGCTCGGACCCCGTGAGGTCAGCTAGAACCGTCCAGAAGTGCAGTCCCTTGAGAGTTCCCCGCCTTCCTCCAGAGTGAGGCTGGGCTGTTGAGCCCACGTCGAGCAGCCATCAGACTCCATGGTAGCCTCCCCTGAAGACTATTGGGCCAATTCAACGTCCCTTTAAAAATGACGTTTGTAGGTGTTTTGTGAAAATAAATACCGTCCTCCACGGCAGGGCACCTGCAGTGATTAATGAGGTAACGGAAAGTCCCCTGAGCCCGGAGCCAAGGTGCTATTTATGTATGTCCAAAACATGTTTCCTAATTTCCTAATGACAGAGACATTGAACCTGGATATTGAGTTCAGGCTAGTAAGGCCTGTTCAAGCAGAGCGTCTCATCTGGCCAGTTCAGAGCAGCAGCTGAACTGCGTCTTGCAGGTGGATACGGCGAGGCGCTCCCGCAGCTCCGCTCCAGCCTGGCCGGGCATGGGGGCGCGGGAGAGCAGGCCCCGGGCCTCGGCTGCCCTGCGCGTGGGCCAGCGGCTCTCACGGCCCAGCCTGTTGTAGGCCCACAGAGCCGAGGTGGATCCGTGGATGGGGGTTGTCTGTGGGTGGCCTGGCTGGCACTGGCTTGGGCAGCGGTTCTCAGCCAGCTGTCTAGGGAAGCAGTTCTGATGACCTTAGTAAACCTTTGGACGCGGGCATCATGTTCGCCCACGGGCGCATTAAAAGCTAGACGAGAAGAAACGGAACCCAGGAGAAACAAGGGCTGCTCCAGCAGGGCTGAGCCCTACGTGGTTCGTCTCCAAGTTATTTTTGGCTGTTTTAATATCCGGAGTATGGGGTCACATTGATCCAAGCCTTCGATCTCAGCCTTAAAGAAAACGTGGGAGCGTAGGGTAGAAGCTGGGGACTTGTTCTACCCACAGGCTGGAGCAGGGAGTAGATTGGTCTCCCTTCTGTCCAGAAGCTTGGGGGAAGGGGCAGGGCCCCCACAGCCAGCCCTGTGAGAGAAAAGGCACTTTCCTGGCAGCCGAAGGAGATGCCACCAAAATGCCACCTCCATCCTCAGGCCCCGTCCACCCTGGCCTGGCCTCAGCCACCCCCGACTCTGCAGAGCACAGCTCGGCCCCCGGGAGCACTCAGGTCCCCTCTGGCTCAGTGGCCACCCGCCCCCAGGCTGAGGAACAGAGGGGGCGCCACCCCTTCCCCCCCCCCGCTGGCCTCCAGCCTCCGGCTCTTTCTGGCAGATCTACTACTGGGAGGCGGACAGCCGGAACGAGACGGAGAAGATGAGGGTGCTGTTCCTGCCCGAGACCACGGCGAAGCTGAAGAACCTCACCAGCCACACCCAGTACCTGGTCAGCATCTCGGCCTTCAACGCCGCTGGAGACGGGCCCAGGAGTGACCCCCGGCAGGGCCGGACCCACCAGGCCGGTAGGAGGACACGGGCTTCCTTCCCACAGCCTGGGGCACCTCCCTGCCCTGGTGCTGTTCCCCGACCCTCCCTCTCCATTCCCTCGGCTCTCCGCTCTGCCCGTCCTGTAAGTCAGATCCCGCGTAGCTGGGAATTTCTGGGTCCGATTCGTGTGGTGTCCCCAGCGCCCAGCCCAGGCCTGCTGCGTGGAGCTGCCCCGTGAACATTCACCAGCGTGAGCAGCGTGGGCAATGGGGGGCCGGGCTTCCATCTGCACAAGGCCTCATCTGTCACCGGCAGGACTTGCTCCAGGCCTCCGGGGGATTCTCTCAGGGTCCAGATCCCGGGGCAGGGGGAGCTCCTTGTATGTTGATGTGCTGAGCCCAGGCCGCAGTGTTGGCCTTCCCGGGCCTCTGGGCCACAGAGTCCCCTGGAAGCAGCTGGCAGGCCGTCTCTCAGACACATGCCCCGCGCGGGTCCTAGGGCGTGGCCGGGCTGCCCTGCCAGGGGTCACACTGCCCGTGACCTCCTCTCCTGATCTGGGGTACGTTCTGAGCCGCTCACTCACTCTCCTGGCGACTCGCAGAGTCCCTAGTGGTTTGGGGCGCTTCCTGAGGCTGACCAGGCTTCCCGAGGGAACGGCGGCTGGGCCCTGGGTCCCGGGAGCTCTGGGGCCTTCTTGAGATGCAGGGAGTGGAAGGCTGGCAGTGTAAGTTAGGGAGCCCATGGGGCACAGACCCACCGGCTCCGGGCTCCCCAAACCTCTGTGGGTTCAGCCTTCCTGGGAACAGGGGCTCCTGAGAGTCAGGCCCCCTGGGAGATGACCATGACTGCATTGCAGGGCCTGCGTCCTCGGGGCCCGTCCAGCAGCCCGGGAAGAGCTGTCTGTGGACTGTGGGCTCTGAGCGGGAAGGGTATGGGCGGACCTGTGGGGCCGAGGGTAGGAGGTGGAGGCCCTCGGGCGCTGCGGGCCTGGCGGGTCACAGGGCCAAAGGGCCCCCAGGGACGGGGGAGGACGGAAGGGGGGCAAGTGGGGGCCGATTCAGTGGGCATTTCTGAGCACGGAGGGGAACCCAGCTAGGGGGGCGTCAGTGCCCACTGGGGTAGGGGCAGCTCTGGGTGCCAGCACCCACCCGGCCCTCCCACGGGGCCCAGGCGGACGGGAGCCGCGGGCGGGGTCGGCGTCCTCCCCGGCCACACAGCCTGCCTCTGCGTCTGCCAGGAGCTTCTTCCAGCTCAGGGTGGCGCGTGAGCTCCCCCATCTCCAGACCAAGGGGGACAGGGAGATGGCCGGGCGCCCGTGAGATTTCAGATGACGACCCGTGTGCGGGGATGTCCTCAGAGGCTCTGGGCCCCCCAGGAGGGGAGGGGAGGGGAGGGGAGAGCCCACCTCCCCACCCCCACGGAGGAGCAGAACTGGAGCCCGTGGAATCCTCCAGCAGGTGCTAGAAGAGGGCGCTGTCTGCACCGCATTTTCTGTTTCCATCCATTATTCGTGTTTATGCCTTTGTCATTGCACCTCTCAGGCTCCTTTGTGTTTAAACACTGCCGTTTTCTCCGCTCTTCTCGGGAGGCTCTGAGTTTCTGATTTTGACCCTGGGAAGTTCGGAGATGACCAATAAATCTCCTTTGCATCCACGGCACTGAGACTTCACTAAGTTGGAGATTCCATCTAATAAGGTCCCTATTCCACGCGGAGGCGTAGACGCGTATGTAGACGACGTAAAGGGGCTTTGGTGACGTCCTCTCTGTCCTGTCCTCCAGCTCCCGGGACCCCCAGCTTCCTGGCATTCTCGGAAGTAACCTCCACCACGCTGAACGTTTCGTGGGGGGAGCCCACAGCAGCCAATGGCGTCCTGCAGGGCTACCGAGTGGTGTACGAGCCCTTAGCACCCGTCCAAGGTAAGCCTCCCGGCTGCGTGGCACCCACCGTCCACACGGCACGGCGCCGGGAGGGGCGGGTGAACCGACTGAGCGCGTCCGGGGCTCCACACGGCTCCACACCCGGCCTCTTTATCACCCAAGACCCGCCTCTCCTGCTGCGCCTGAGATCTCAGCGCTCGTCCCACCCTGGGTGCCGCAGGCTGGAGCCACGTGGGCAGCTGGGCCCGGACGCTTCCCTCGGGTGCTCCTCTGGGGCTGCCCTCATTCTTCTGTTTACTCAGCGAGGTTTTTGTTTGTTTTTGGTGTCGGGGGTGGGGGTTTTGGGCCCGCACCTTGCGGGATGTTTCCCCACCGGGGATTGAACCGGGCCACTGCAGTGAAGGTGCCATGCCCTAACCACTAGACTGCCGGGGAACTCCACTCAGCACGTCTTTCTTAAGCACCTGCTGTGTGCCAGGTGCCGTTCAGGGAAGCTGGGATCTGAGCTGACCTGTTCATCGAGATCCTTGCTTTCCTGAGTGCAGTGAGCTGCGCTCCAAGGAGGAGAGAGCAACACACGAACACACACACACACACACACACACACACACACACACACAAGTCTGATAGCGATCAGCACCACGAGGAGGAGAGTGGGACTGCGTGAGAGCCTCGGGCGTGGAGCGGGGACAGGCGCTGAGGGACAGGAAGGGCCCAGGCGCCCAGCGTCCGAGACAAGACTGGCCCACAGAGGCTCGGTCACGCGGGGCCTGCAGGGAGGGGGCAATGCCAGTCGTCCGGGCGGCCGCAGGGCCAGTGACACGGGGCCGAGGTGGAGCCAGAGGCGCCGGGTCTGAGTTACAGGAGACCGGGATCCGCGGCTGAATCAACCCCGGCGCCACCAGGGGGGCTGGCAGGGGGCTCCGGGCGGGGGTGATGGACGGGAGAGGAGAGGACAGGTGCAGGGGTGGACAGGGCGGGCGGGAAGGAGCTGGGCCGTGACGGCATGGCTCTGTCCCTGCGCCCCTGCTGTAGTTAGTGCCGCCAGCTCTGTGTTGATTTGATCTCTTATCCACTCATCTCTGCCCGCTGCCCCACTCCCGGAGCGCACACTGAGGGCCGAGCGGGCATTCCTCTCTGTCCCCACTGTGTGCCCGGCACTGTGGTGCAGAGAAGGGAGGTGAGGCCCTGGTCATAGACACAGACAGACTGTAGAAATTATGGATTATTTAATGTCTGGGAGGAAAAGATATCACCAACACATCAAATGATATTGGCTCTCCATTTAAAGCCATGATAAAAGTTTCCTTTTAAAACAAGCACATTCAAGTAAAACAGGGAGTGGATTCGAAGAAGAAAAGTTAAGCCCAGATTTTATTTCATCGAATCCACACCGCCATGGCCTGGGAGGTTCATTGTTATTTTATGAAGTGCTGAGAACGAAGAAATGCTTCCACTGAACCATGGCCCGTCCTCCCAAAGCATCCGTTCCGAGCTGCATCCCAAATCAGAGATGTAAAAATGCGAGGGGGGAGAAAGCGCGTCTCAGAAAACCGATGAGCTTAGGTAAATAGCAGTAGAGGTGGCAGAGGGTCCTTCCTGCCTCTCACGTGAACTTAGGTAAATAACAGCAGAGGCGACGTGTGGAAACGGTTTGTAGAACAGCCGAGAGGCTGGGGACCAGCGCTGATTCAGCGCGCTCTGCTGTGTCTTTCCAGGACCCAGCGCCTGTCTGCAGACAGGTGGCCTGGGCGTGGCTTGGGTCAAGGGCCGGAAGGAGACGGGCCACGTTCCCGCCCGTTAGGTAGGGAGGGAGGGCCGAGAATTGCTGGAGACTTCCATTTTGCTCACCGGCGTTCCCTGCACACGCACGTGCGCGCAGATTCCACGAGCCCAGGTCCCAAACACCTTTTCAAGGATATTAACCCACTGGTGCCGTCCAGATGAGAAAGGGTTGCCGAGAACGGTGCCTTAGTGGCCTCCGCCTCCGTCCTCACCCCAGGCCGTGAGTGAGGTTTCCCGCGCTTCCTCTGGCAAGTGACTGAGTGCTGAGCAGAGCGTCTGTGTGGGTGGGTTTGCAGTCTTTCCAGAAACTCCACGGCCCACAGCTGTCTCCTTGGCCTCCCGGCGAGGCCACCGCCCGGCCGGATTCCGCAGCGGGGCCTGGCTGTGCCCCCCGTTACCCTCCTCTGCACGGTCAGGCGCTAGAATTGCTGCAGAGCTTCCCCACGCCTAACCCCCACCCCCGCCTCATCGCCGGGGGGCAGCAGCAGCTCCAGTTCCCGGTGTCCCCGGGGCTGCTTGTTTGTTTCACGTTGTTTGGACACTCAGGTTCGCCACGAGCAGCTCACAGGGTTCTCCCGGTGCCCCCGTCAACGCGACCCCACCGAGCACGCCGACCGGTAGGCGCTGCCCCTCCGGCACTGGCTACGCAGCAGGCCGCACCCACCGCTCTCCTGCGTTCTCTCCTCATGCTCAGCACAGCCCTGCGGGGCGCGCCGCATCTGTCCTCACGCCACAGACAAAGCGGGCGGGCTGGGCTGCCCTGGTGGCGCAGTGGTTGGGGGTCCGCCTGCCGATGCAGGGGACACGGGTTCATGCCCCGGTCCGGGAAGATCCCACATGCCGCGGAGCGGCTGGGCCCGTGAGCCATGGCCGCTGAGCCTGCGCGTCCAGAGCCTGTGCTCCGCAATGGGAGAGGCCACAGGAGTGAGAGGCCCGCATACCGCAAAAAAAAAAAAAAAAAAGCAGTCGGGCTTCGGGCCCTTAAGACGTTGTCCCCAGCCTACGGTTGGGGAACAGGGGAGAGGAGGGATTCGAACCCAGGCGGGCAGGTTCAAGAGCCGAGGTCTTATCTGTCGCGTGATGGGGAACGAACGTCCGGAGCTTGTGTCTCTGAACGTAAACGTGATGCTGAGCGGCAGAGACGGAGCCCAAGGGGCAGTCAGGAAATCATCTTGCTTTCCGGCCGCGGGTGGGGCTTGCCGTTCCCTGGAGTGACAACAGGTGGAGTCACTTCGGTCACAGCCATCTTCGCCTCTTTTCACAAGTAGCGAGACGCCCGCCGTCCGCAGCAGCGTCCCTTGTCTGTGGGGAGGCCCGCTGCTCTCAGCCTGGGTCTCCAGCCAGTGTGCCAGCCCTGCCATTGGAGCAGGGACGGGGGCTCAGCCCTGCGCTCACTCAGCCGCCGCCCCGGCTCCTGCGCCCTCAGCAGCAAGCTGTCCAGACGCCAGGCTCTGGCTGTGCACGTCCCAGACCCACTGACGCCTGCTTGCCTGTCGAGTGGCCGGTCCAGAGCTGGGGCTACCCCATGTGACGGTGACGGTGACGGGAAGCGTCCAGTCCCGCCTGAGGTGTCGCAGGGCTGCCTCTAGCACCAGGCCGGCACTAAGCCGGGCCGCCAACCGTAGGCCACCCTGCCCCCCGACAGCTCGGGCCCTGCTCCCGCTGGAGTGAGGCTGGCCACAGGCCTCGAGCCTCCCCCCGGCCTCCGTGGCAACCAGCAAACACCCCTTCCCCAGGAGCAGAGCTCACCGACCCACTGCCCTGGTGCCGCCCTGGTGACCCTGTGACCTTCCCGAAGTGCCCCGCTCACCGCCAACCCGGCATCACGTCCCAGGATCCCACCGCGAGCCCGCCTGGACCACGGCCTCAGCCAGAACCCCTGACTTAGCCAGATGTACACTAGTCCTGGGCCCTTCCAGCGGCCACGGCTGGCAGCCAGAGAGGAGCACGGCCCGGCCGAAGTGGGGCCGTAAGGAGGCCGTCACCGGGGCGTGGGCAGCGGCTGCTGGTGGCGGTCCTCCTGCTGGTGGGTGTCGTGGGTCAAGCACAGGAAGGCCCCAGATCGAGCCCCATTGCGTTCCTCCGGACTCAGCTGCATGACTCGCAGTGGCCACTGGAGCAGTAACCGCCGTGGGGCGGGTGGAGGCGTGGAGAGCATTTGCACGCGGGAGGCACCCTGTCCTCTCGTGGACACGCCTGAGCCGGCCCTCGGGGAGATGCTGGGGACGTGACCTATCCGTCCTCTTGCCTTGGCGGACAGCCGGCCACCTGCCGGGCACGTGAGGACCAGCTGCACGCAGGAGCCCGGCCGCGATCGGCCACGCCAGCTGCCTCCCAAGGCCTGACCAGCAGGATGGCGAGCTGAGCTCCACGGTGGCCGCCATAAGCCCTGGGTGGCGAGCTGAGCTCCGCGGTGGCCGCCATCAGCCCTGGGTGCTGGGGCAGCGTGGCCACCGCGGAGCGGGAGAGCTGCAGCCGGGGACGCAGGTGGATCGCAGCGCCCGGAGCTTGACGTGCTTTCGAACAGTCAATGCAGGGTCTGGGATCCGGCCCTCCTGACACTGCTGTGAGGTGGGCACTGCCCACTCAGGACTGACGGGAAACGGAGGCCTGCAGAGGTCCAGTGTGTCGCCCGGCGTCTCACGGGGAAGAAGTAACAGGCCTGGGACAGGCTCCAGATCCAGGGGCGTCCGCACTCCCCGTCCCTCTGGCCGACCCTGCGAGTTTCAGAGGGAACCCGCCCTCGGCCGATCGTGGAGCAGCGGCGCTCGCCCTGGGCGCCTCTGCCGGGGCTCTTTGGGGCGTTCTCACCTAAGACCGCGCCGTTGCCTAGCTGAGCAGGCCCGACACCGTGGACAGAGTCGTGGGCGAGAACAGAGAGGCTGAACGCCAGGCCGCGGCTGTGAAAGCACCGCACAGCTTCCCGGACCCGCTGAGGGCAGGCTGCCCAGCACCCCGGGCCCCGGTCCAGCCCTGGCTGCCCTGCGTCCCCACACCTGGGCCCATCCCTCCCCAGCGGCCCCCAGTGCCCCGATGCTATGTCTCCTCCCCTCAGGGCGGCTGGCTGACCTGATGGGTGCGCAGGCCTCTTGGAGGGCGTCTCCTGGAGAAGCCTGGCCCTCACCCCCTTCGCGGTTGGATCTGGGATTTAGGCAGGGAACCATGAAAGTAGGAAGCGGGACTCCGGACCATTTCGGTACTCTCATATGCCTCAGAGGACCCGTGCAGCTCCTAGAGATATGGCTGCAAACGTAGGGAGAAGCTCGAGCATCTTTATATGAACTCTCTGTGGTAACGCCGCTTCCCTTGTGAAGATCACCGAGGATATGATATTTATGTTGATATGCACATGCACAAGTTTGTGGTAAAGACAGTAAAAAGCAGTTGTAAAACAGTGATCTCTGCCTGGGGTGACCCTTCTTCATGCCCCCTCCCCCAGGCCCGGGCAGCGTCTGGAGGGACACCTGCAGACCCTGGTCGGGCAGCCTGCAGCCCAGGCCCCGGGAACAGGGGCGTCGATGTGGTACTGCAGTGCTGTGGACCCCGGGTCCCTCCACCAGGAAAGTAGGCCTGGCTGCGTGGAGAGCCCCCAGGCCCTCGGAACACTGAGCCGTGTTCTTGGGACTCTGATTCCATAGAAGAGCTATTTTTATGTTTTCTTACGTGTTTGAAATGGAAGTATTTCAGGCGACTGCACCCTGAGGTTTGGAGTGCAGGGCATGGTTTTAAAGTTGACTGAATAAATAAGACGCTGATGTGGTTGGGATGGGGGAGGGGGAGGGAAGCAGACCAGCTCCACCTCTTGGCGGGACAGAGTTCACAAGATCTGTGCACAGGGTTGGTTTTGCTCTGAGGAGAAGGAGGGCATTTTTTAACAAAAGAAGGGGCTGCTCTCCAGGAAAACTATATCTGGCAGGATCCCGCGTGTGTTCACTGGTGACAGTCAACCATGGGTGTGGACTCATCCCTGAAACCCCGTTCTGGAGCGATGCAGCTGAGGGGCGGCCTCTCTGTGCAGAAGTGGCCCTGCTTCTCTACCGAAAAGCTCCAATCACACAAGAGCAGCCCAAATTGCTCCAAAACAACTTGGAAGAGAATCATGTCGCTGAACAAATGTTTCATAAAAGGCGCAATATGAAGACAGTAAGCCAACTAGAAGGGCTTCTGGAGGCCTGTAGGATCAGAGGAATTTGCTTTGATGACTCTGAAAGCTGGACCCACTTTGTAGCGAGGACGCACGTTGTTGGGCTCTTCTGAGATCAAGGCCACCCTAAGATTCAAGGTGCAGATAACACCGGCCGGTCGCAGCAAGGGCAGGTGGCCCCTTGTTCTTGGGAAGCACGGCTGTTCTCTGTGTACGGGACACGGTGGCGCAGACGCCGGACCCAGGACAGCAGGCCCCCAGCGCGGCTCTTCTGCACGACCTCTGCTGACTCACAAGTCCTGGAATTGCCCCAGCCTGACACCCTCCTCCAAGAGGTGCCCGACAGACATCGGTGTGTTGAAGGCTCTGAGAAGTCCCGCAGTCTAGAACTTATGTAGCTTTTTTTGTTTGAATGCTTCATTTTCAGACTTGTTTTACCAAAGAACCCTATTTTCCCTTCTGGAAAATGCTGCGTTTGTGTACTTTTCAGTTTGTATCCCCCTGCCAAAGTGTCCAACCTCTATTTTCTAATTAAACCTAGTACAGCCAGCATCACATCTGCTCAGTGTCTGTGTTTGAGGGAAGCGTCTCTGTGCTGGCACAGGTCTGTGGGGCTGCGTCACTACCACTCTCTGTGGTGACAGGTTCGTCATGTTTCAGGGTCTGTGGATGAAGTTGTCATGCGTTGCCAAAGCCTTTAGGCCGCAGAGTGGACCCCGTGGGGGGGCCGCCTGCAGCCCACGCAGAGCCTTCCTCCATCTTCCTCCTCCACGTTCTGTCCCCCGACTAAGTTGGGAAGCCCGAGGTCGCCTTCGACGTGACACAGGGCTTTGTGCAGCTCCCAGCCAAGTGGGGAGGGACCCTCCAGACGTCGGGGGCCTGCCCCCACCTTGGTGCCTGTCGCCGGGGTTCTCTCCCCCGCCCCAACGTGGCCAGTGAGCCGGGGCCTCCTCCCGCGTGCTGTGGGTGGTTCTTCCCCGTGTCAGCACCCACTTACCACGCTTAGACTCTAAGGGCACTTACGTGTGCTGGAAATCGGCCATTGCCACCACTTACAGTCCCGGTGGTAAGAAACGCTTCCTCAGCAAACCTCGCGGCCTCCTGGTCATTAGAGCTGAAGAGGCGGTGCTCAGGGCCCCTCTCGCCCTTCCCTGCGGCTCTAGGGGTGAGCAAGGTGGTGACGGTGGACGTGAAGGGGAACTGGCAGCGCTGGCTGAAGGTGCGCGACCTCACCAAGGGGGTGACCTACTTCTTCCGAGTGCAAGCGCGGACCATCGCCTACGGGCCCGAGCTGCGGGCCAGCGTCACGGCCGGGCCGGCCGAGGGTGAGTATCGGGCCTCCTTCGTCCGGTCAGGGCTTGGTCTGCACTCCCGACGAGCCGTGCTGGACGCTCAGAGCTGGCGTCAGCTCAGGACTCCTTTGGCCCCACCTTCCAAGGCGTGTGTTACCTGAACGTCTGCACGCGGACGCATTCAGTGTGGGTGAGCAAGTTCTTAGGTGTTGAGCGTGTCCAGTTTGTATTTGTCTTCTGGAAAAAAAAGCGAAAAGAAGTGCATTCGATTTTTGAAATAAGATACGTAAGAAAAATTTGAAGTTTTCCTGGCATGAAGAGGAACCGCGTGGTTCCCGCTGCACAAATGCCCTTGGCCTCTGTTTAAGTGCTTTTGGAGGAGGGGGCAGTGGATCGAGAGGACACCTCCACGGCTCAGCTCTCTTGATGCTCTGATGGACCCTGTGAGGCCAGTGTCAGCCCCACCCCGACTTTCAAGATGAGGGACCGGGACTGACCCAGGGTGAGCCCTGCCTGGAGACCTAGCAGCAGAGCCGGCCCCTCTGCAGGCCCAGGAGTCCCGGGCCAAAGCCCACCCGCTCTTTTCTCCTCTGTCCACAGGTTCCCCGGGCTCCCCTCGAGACGTCTCGGTCACCAGATCCGCCTCTGAGCTCACCCTGCAGTGGACGGAGGGCCGCGCGGGCAGGACGCCCACCACGGGCTACGTCATCGAGGCCAGGCCCTCAGGTAGGGCGGGCGAAACCTCGAAACGGTGTCTCTGCATCTGTAAAAGAGGGGACGTGTCAGAGCTTGGGGCCTCCCCGGCCCAGCATCTCCCTGATGACATGGAGACGGAGGGCATTGACTTGAAATGAGAGGTGCCCTCTCACTCCCCCACCCCCCGTTGTTTTTTTTAAATATTTATTTTTTATTTATTTATTTATTTTGGCTGCGCCGGGTCTCCGATGGGGCACACGGGATCTTTGTTGCGGCCTGCGGACTCTTAGTTGCGGCCTGCGGGATCTAGTTCCCTGACCAGGGATGGAACCCCATTGGGAGTGCGGAGCCCTATCCACTGGACCACCGGGGAAGCCCCCACCCCCCCATTCTCATAACCACGGCTGCGCTAGCAACCTCACGGGCATCAGACCCATGGTGTTCCGGCCACGTTACCTAGGCTTGGGGGAGGATGACTGTCACTCAGATACACGTGCGAGAGAACTTAGGGTCACTTAAGGATGTTCTCAGCTCAGCGGTAAGACCCACGAGTGTTTTCAGAGGCTCCGCTCGAGATCTCGGTGGAGAGTGTCCTGCTCATTTCGGATCGTCATGAACCTTCCTGTTAGTAGTGAAACCCACACGTCATCCTCGGGGAGCGAGGTTGAGATCCGCCCCAACCCCATCCACCCTAAGAGGGTTTCCGCCTTCTCTCTGTTCAAGTGATACCTAAGGGCAGGCACCACTGGAAAGTGAGGGATGGTTTGAGTCGGATGTTACGGCTGGAGCTGGGGGGGCATCACCCTCGCAGGAGCCCCGGGCACGTTCACCGCGACCTTCAGACGGCCGTACGGCTCAGCAGGAACATCCGAGCGTGAAAATACACGGCGTGCCAGGGACGCACTTGGACAGTGAATGGCCAGGCCCCGCCTCCAGATGGACTACAGCGCTGTGAGCACTTCAGTGTGATGTTTAAAGAAGCTCTTAGACCAAGAGGGAAGAGCCCCAACGTCGCAGACGTCACGGGCGTCCCTCCTCCCCACCAAACGGCTTTTGAAAGATTACTTAGAAGTGCCTTCTAGAAACTTCTAAGGAGAAACCTAGTACATAAAACCAAAACAGTTTCTATGCAAAGGCGATGTGAATACTTCTTTGGCTCAAGAATGCCCATGTTCAGCCCCCGGGCCTGGGGGATCCCGACAGTTTCTGATAAGCAGGGCATCTGGCCTTTTCTGGAAATGGAGGGTCCCAAATCCGTGACGGGGCTGGACTCGCCAGAGGCCTCTGTGGTCACTTGTTCCCCCCGTACCTCTGAAAGCAGTGGACCCAGAAGAGCCAGCCAGCTCTCTGCTGGCGACATCTGACCCGGGGCACTTTCGGAGATCAACAAGTGCCGCGGGCTTCCCTGGTGGCGCAGTGGTTGAGAGTCCGCCTTCCGATGCAGGGGACGCGGGTTCGTGCCCCGGTCCGGGAAGATCCCACATGCCGCAGAGTGGCTGGGCTCGTGAGCCATGGCCGCTGAGCCTCCGTATCCGGAGCCTGTGCTCCGCAACGTGAGAGGCCCGCGTACCGCAAAAAAAACAAACAAAAAAACCCAAATGCTGTGGCTGAAAGGCCCTGTGAGGTCTGTGCCCAGACTGAGGCAGTGGAGGCTGCACTGGCCTCAGGAGGCAAAGCCGCTTGCTCCCCAAATCCAAGGAGAGCGTTTGTTGCAAAGGTTGCCTTGCTCAGGTCCACCAAGGGGCTCCATCAGCTTCGACGGGAAAAAATACGTGTTTATCTTCACTAGCCCTCTAACTGATCAGCTTTCCTTCACTTATAAACACGTGTTAGTTTGCTCAGCTACTGTAACCGAGTACCAAACACTGGGTGGCTTAGATCATAGAAACGTGTTCTCTCTCAGGTCTGGAGGCTGGAACCCCAGGTCGAGGTGTCGGCACGGTTGGTTCCCTCTGGGGGCCATCGGGGAGGATCTGGTCCAGGCCTCTCCCCTGGCTTCTGGCGTGTCGCTAACAACCTTTGCGGGTCCTTGGCCTGTAGCAGAACGTCAGCCAGACCCCTACCTTCCTCTTCACGTGGCCTCCTCCCTGCGTTCCTGTGTCCAAACTTCCCCCTTTTAGAAGAACCCCAGTCACACTGGATTAGGGCCCACCGTCATGACCTCATCTTAACTAATTATGTCTGCAAAGACCCTGTTTCCAAATAAGGTCGCATTCTGATATACTAAGGATTAGGCCTTGAAGGTATGAACGATGAGGGGACCCAGTTCAACCCATAACCGTAGGTGAGAACCCACGTAAGTAACAGCAGTACCTGTGGAACCGCCAGCAGTAGAAATCACAGCTACGTTCACGTCACGTGCCAGGTGTGCAGAGATTCCCCAAGATCGTTCATACTCACCACGGCGTTGACATTACGGTCGTCTGCAGACCCTGCTAGACCTTCTCATCGAAAGCGTTCGTGAAGAAGCGAAGACTTCTGAGTTCCCTGGGATGAGGGTGTCACCTCAATGCACGTCTCTCCACCGCATCTTCCAAAGACCACGTAGCTTAACAAGGGTGCCAAGAAAACCCACGTGATCCAGACCTTCCGCGTTAACCGGGAGATGGACATGACTGTGAACCTGCGGTTACTGCCAGGCATTTAGGAGCACCACCAATGTAACTGGTTTCCTTTTCAGTTTTATTTTATGCATGAAAACCATTCTGAGATGGGGTCCTTCAGAGTCAGCAGGTTGGCAGAGGGTCCACGGCACCAAGAAGAGGTTCGGAAGCCGTGCTCTAGAGGACACGCACCCAGGACTCCCGCGGAGTCGTTTCCTTCTACCCGGAAGCTTGTCTCCCCGACAAGAGTTAGGGATCCCAGTGGACACGTGGCTGCCAAAGGGCCACACGAGGCACCCTCGAGGCGGTGGAAACGCTGTGGATCGGTGTCACCCACCAGGGTTCTCGGCCTCCTTCCTCAATAGAAACGGATCAGAGGCCAGACGGGAAATTCAGGCGAGGTTCTACGGGGCCCTGCTGCAGCAGGGGGCGCTCGAGAGCAAGCAACAGCCTCCCTTGCTTCACGCCCTGACGGGGGCGGGGCAGGGGGTGGAGCGAGCGTGTTGCTCACATGGGGTGAGGGTAGGGGTGTATCCAGGAGTCGGGCCAGAGGGGAGACAGGTGTTTTGCCCACCTCTTGGGTGGTGTGGTGTGCAGCGGGCGTGCTCAGTACCTCGCTTTTCTCCCAACCCCCTGCTTTTGCTCCAGTCTCTTCAAAAGTGGCAGTTGGGTTTTTGGGTCTCTGTATCTTTGGGGTCCAGAATTTGTCCCAACTGGGCATGCACGTAGTTATTTTTAGTCTCACACCGTTTCTTTGGTTTTTGTTTCTCGAGGAGAGACGTGTCCAGGTGCAAGCATTGCAGCAAAGGGTCCCATCAGGACTGTGTCAGCATCAGTTTCCCGGTTGCGCTGTACTGTAGTTTCCCTTGCGGGGGGACGGGGGGTTGGAACACTGGATAAAGGACACAATGGGGTGCCTGTGCTATTTCCCACAGCTGCGTGGGAATCCACAATTATCTCAAAAGAAAAAGCTGAGCTTAAATTTTTTTTTTTTAATCTCCACGGATGGTCTCCTCACCCTGGTCAGTCAGGTGCACCGTCTCTCTGAAACGAGCACCTTCATGTCAGCGATCGGCCTGTGGGGAACGGAGGCCCCCACCAGCCAGATGCAGGCGCGTGGGAATCGTAGCCCTAGTGAGCACTCGGGCCGCCCCGGGGTTGGAGGGTGCGTTCTCAGGCTCCCTGGGGAGCTGGTTCATTTCCCCTCGTGCTGCCCCTGCTCATCCGTCTGCTGCGATGAAGGAAACGGGGTGCTTGGTGGTTACAAGCGCGGCTTCTGGGAGTCTGGAAGGTGGTGCAGCACTAAGGGGGTGGCGCCCCACACCCGAGGGCCTCGCCCAGATACGAGCCTCCTGCCGGCAGCTGGCGGTCTGACTCCCCGGGTCACTACCAGAAGGTGGAAGCTGACCCACGGGGACCAAGACGTGCCAGGAAGCTGACCCAGAGGACGCTGTCGTTTCCAGCGAGCCCCGAGGGTTCTGCTTCACCTTCTCAACATTGGAGAGCAGGTCGCCAGCGATTTCGACTGGGCCAGAGCAGGCCGCCGGCCTCGCCGTCCAGCCGCTGAAAGCTGAGAGACGCCCTCCCCCCTTAACGGAGGCCTGCAGCTGCTTGAGTCAGATGAAATGCATTTACGGATTGTCAATATTTAAACGCCTTGCCAGTACCTGGGGCTTTGGATCTCAGCTGTCATCTATTACAGGCCTCATTACGCGGAACAGTAATGCTGCATCATCTCACTCTCTCCCCGAGGCTCTTTGGCGACGCCCTGTCCGGCAGGGCAGTGGTGTCTGGAGGGAGCTTGGTAGTGGTGTTGGGCCCTGGGAGGGGTAGTTTTTAATAGGGGGCCACCGGGGTTCCCGTCACCGCGGGCGTCTGGAAAGACTGAGCCCCTTTGTTGGGTGGCCCTGGGGGCCCCAGGCTGCCTGCCGTCTCCCCACCAGGCCTCATCTGCATCTTGCCCTTGGAAGGCATGGAGCTCGTCCGCTTGGCTGGCGCGGGGACGGTGGCCAGCAGGCTCCAGCGGCCCGGGCAGGTGGCCCTGCAGCCTTGTGCCTCTTCACTTGAACCCCTGCAAATTCTGCTGATGCCCTAACGTGAAAACACCGAATTGAACGGCAGCTGGTGAAATTCACATCGGACTAGGACACACACCCCCGTCACACCTGGAGAAGGGCAGTCAGCGAGTGTGGACGCGGCCCCGGACGCCACAGGACAGCCTTGCCGAAGGTTCATTTCTCCGGTTGGGCGAAGGTTTCCTCCCAGTTGGAGTTGCTAAGCTCCCAGGAAGGCAGTGGAAACTATGCAGCGGGCATATGCAGATGATCTATTTACACAGATTGTCCCGAGGCATTTTACTGTATAGATCGGGAAACCTAATTTACATATTTACACAATAGACCAGAATGGCACTAAAGGAACTATAAA